GTTCTGTGTTTACGTCTTTGTGTGGAGTCCGTGTACCTGCTCTCATTTGCTGTTTGGTTGTTGTTAAAAGGGTTTTGTGAGCTTTAATCTGAGAATCTGGCGTTTCTGGCAAAACACAGTTATATTTAAAAGTCGATTCAGGATTTAATGAATTGATATCGCTTTATTCAAGCTACTTACCTCCCACTTCCACCTGCACTTTCAACTGGACCACGGCCAATCAGAGGTCCCGCCCCTTACTATCTCTGATTGGTTTAGTCCACGATAGGGGCATAACGTGTGTCTGTTGTTGACCACAGGGAAGATTGCAGTTTTTTGTTTGTTTTTTTGTTTTTGCTACCCGAACAACTGAACTTAATTCTGCTGTTGTTGTTGGTATTTGTTTTTCATTCTTTGTTTTGTTTTTTTATTTATTCTGTGGGGAAATTTTAAACACTTTTATTGACCTACTGGCCTGCTTTTATTGATCATAAAACCAGGCACCTAAGCTGTGTCGCTGATCTTATATAAAATTTGTTAGTGAGCCTACTTACTTCTTTGATTTAGGCTTCTGTGTTTGTTCTTCACTCACTTGCCTTATTTTTCAGAACTGCAGCTGAAAGAATATAGCTAACCTTATCTTAGATACAAGTAAATAACATTTTAATTGAACCAAATACACAGTTTTAATTACAGTCACAGCCACCTGTGTTTTAATGATAGAGCTGTGATTGTATTGTATAAGCAACACACGTTGTGTTTTTTTAAAAAAAAATCTTATTCCATCATGGATGCCAGTACACCTTGTTTATGTTGTGCAAAGCACTTAAAGTCTGCACACATTCCAGCAGGACATTTTAATATACTAGAGCACCGAGCTGTTCCTCTCACACACACATTCAGATGTTGCAGCTTTAGCTGCAGTAACTGTTCTTTTCAGCCTCTGTTATGTCTTTAGTCTCTTTGTCTTTTTCACACTGCTGCCAGTAGACCTGTCTGTGCATTCGATTTGTCACGCACTCCAAATACTGACTCTTTTTGCGAATTCTGAATCGTGGCTTGTTGAGTTTATAAGCACCTTGGGGTGGCTGTTGAGCCTGATCACCAATGTTTGGTTAAGTGACGCCAGCAGCTGTGGCTCAGGTGGTAGTTACTCCATTGGTAGGACGGTGGATCGATCCCCGACTCCTCCAGTCAGAAGTGTCCTTGGTCAAGATATTGAACCCTCATTTGGCCCATATGTGTTGAAGTGACTAGGGATAGACAAAAGGCCTGTGTGTATGATTGGGTGAATAAAATTTGCAGTAGAAAGTGCTCAGATTACTCAACTGAGTAGAAAGATATTACAGAAGTGCCAGCTTTATCCTGTATATGTTAGTATTTGCCTCAGGTTTCGTCATGTTTAGTACAAGCAGCCACCATTGTAACAGGAAAAAAGGAAACACAGACTAGACCTGCTGTAATAATAGCAGGTGTGTGCTGCACAGCCATGAAATAATACATACATAAATCAGACAGGTTTTTATTCCACATGACATGTGCAGTGATTGATTTCCTTCATCAAGGACACAGCATGTCTGCAGATTCGTGAAAACAGTGTGTGCGCTATGGGAGGTGAGGCAGAACTACAGGAGAAGTACAAGCCATTAGCTTCTTGTGGTGGCAGATATTAAGTGGACTCTTCATTAAAAGCTCAACATTTTAAAATGAGTGCATGGGTGGAATTTTAAGTTGCCACCAGAGTTTGGGATTGTCTGCGTATTGATCTTTGTGTACAGATGGTTTGTACCTGAGCAGCTCCTTTTATTGCCACTCATAATATATTAAAAAAAAAAACTGAAGGAAAACAAATGAAAGAGTCCAGCTTTAGCTGTCTATACCGACGGCTCATTCTGACTGTCTCTTACTACTCGTGTTTTGCAAGTGAGGATAATTTCTGCACTTTCTATGAGGTGGAAGATGGAAAAAAGAAATTGGAGCCTGTGTTTGGTCATCGTGACCGCGATCTCCTTTGAAACATATTGTCACTGAAGCCTTTGCATGGCTCTTGTATCTTTTCCATTCCTGCTACACCTTTTTGTCCTTGTCTTATTATCAAAGTGTCTGAAGGTCTCAGAGTATCTTAAAGCATTCATGTTGTTTTCCTAAAACCTCCTAAATGTGGTGTCTGACTGCTGCTGGCGGTAATGCTGCTTAATGATTTCCAGGTAAACTGATCCTTGTGTGATGTAAGTTTAATATGCAGGCTTGAAATAACTCCATCCATCTTTTACTGTAAAAGTGCTTCCATTATTATCAAAAATGCTTCCTCCAATAGAAATTCAGGGTGTATATAATTATAGTTATCGTGTATATCATGACTATTCAGACTCAGCTGCTGAAATATTATATAACATGCAGATTTGGTAACTGGACTGACTCTTATGGAGTGCTTTTCTGTTATGCTGGATGGAAATCGATGGACTCGGCCAATTAGAGTTCAGTGTCTTTGCCAAAGAACATTTCAACATGTGGACTCAAGCAGCCAGGAATAGAACCAACAACCTCTGTTTGGTAGACAGCTCGCTCTACCTCCTGAACCAATTTCGACATTTTTTCTGTAGTTAACCAAAATGACCGAGGCCATATTTCTTAGCAAGCTGTGCAGATGCTTGTAGAGAAAGCTGTGCAGTTTTAACCCATTTCCAATCAGGAAGATATTACAGATTTGCTTCAATTATTCATTTTGTTTAAGCTATTAGATAACAAGAATATTTGACTGCTTGTTTCCTTGGATGGCCTAAACCTCTTTGAGGGTGCAGGAATTAACTGAAAAGTTTGAAACAGTTGTGTTGGATACTTAAAAAAAAGTTATACTTTGGATACAACAGTTTTGTTTTCCCTCTGAGGAACACCTGCATGATGTTTTTCTGCTATGCATGTGTAGCTTTCTAGATTAATTGCTAATCTGAATGAAGAGATTAATGTACAGTTTTGTTAAAATTGCTCCCAAAACAGATTTTTGTAATTTTTGAACACGAGCAGAACCCTTTGATTAAACACGTGAGTTATTAACCCTTTAAAGTCGGTCGGAGCGGGCACGCTCCGTTTTGCTTAACTATTTTTAAATCCCTGTAGAACCGGAACCACGTGAGCTAGCGCAATAATTTTTTTTGCATATGAAACCGGAGGAGTTGTACTTACATCTTATGCCATCAGCTTGTCCTCGGTCACAGTTTCC